ACCACCATGCCCAGCTAATTTTTGTATTTTTAGTAGAGACGGGGTTTCACCTTGCTGGCCAGGATGGTCTCGATCTCTTGAACTTGTGATCCACCTGCCTCGGCCTCCCAAAGTGCTGGGATTACAGGCGTGAGCCACTGTGCCCGGCCAAGAGAACTTGTGTTTCTAACAAGTTCCTAGTTGATGCTGACATTGTTGTTTGAAAACTACTCTAAGGGGTAGTCTCGATGAGCAAAAATATGGTTTGAATAGAACACAGGAATTGGAAGAGTTTCAAGCTCCTTATCAAATTTCCCCAAAGTGGAAGCACAATCATTCACTTTCACTGACTGGCTGACTTTCTGAAGCATTGAATAGTAACTGATTGTCAGAGACAGATGTGTTCATGTGAGGCTGTCGTTATTACCTGTAAGGATTATAGCAAAAAGACAGTCTTTTACTTTCTTGAATCTGGAGCACAAAACCTTTTTATTCTCACTTTTATGGGCACATACCCATATTGTCCCTTCCCCACCAAAAGCAAAGATATTACTTTCCCGTAAGAGTGCAACAAAATTTGTCTTCGTGGTAGGTACCATCAAAGAAGTCTCATCTAGAAATGTAGGGGCCGGTCTACAGAGTGGGATTCACTGGAGTCACTGGAAATTATAACTCATTGGTGTTAACAACCATTGCTACTGAGGACTCCACCATTCAGTAAAATTTATCAGGCTGAATTGTTATAATTCTTTGTTTTTCCATACTAACTCAGACCTGGACGATCTGTATATAACCACCCAACAGGTGGATTTGCCTTGCTTGCTGCCTAGACAGAGCTGATTTATCAAGACATTGGAATTGCAATAGAGAAGAGAAATTCACGCACAGCAAGCTGTACGAGGAGAGACTGAAGTTTCATTGTTATTCAAATCAGTCTCCCTGACAATTCAGGGACTGGAGTTTTTAAGGATAATTTTGGTGGGTAGGGGGCCAGTGAATTGGGCCAGTGAATCAGGGGTTCTGATTGATCAAGTTAAAGATGAAATCATTGGGAGTAGAAGCTGTCCTGAGTCACTTCCTGGGTGAGGGCCATAAGACAAGATGAGCCAGTTTATGAATCTGGGTGGTTCCTGCTGCCCCATCAAGTACAGAGCCTAGAAAATAATCTCAAACACTGATCTTAGGTTTTACAATAGTGATGTTACACCCAGGAGCAATTTGGGGAGGTTTAGAATCTTGCAGCCTACAGCTGCGTGACTCCTAAACCATAATTTCTAATCTTTTGGCTAATATGTTAGTCCTATAAAAGCAGTCTAAGACATCCCCAGGCAAGAAGGGGATCTGTCTTGGCAAAGGGCTGTTATCGTCTTTATAGTTTTAGACTATAAACTATAAACTAAGTTCCTCCCAAAGTTGGTTTTAACAGCTCCCAAGAATGAACAAGGCAGCTTGGAGGTTAGAAGCAAGATGGAGTTGGTTAGGTCAGATCTCTTTCACTGTCTGTTATTATTTTGCAATGGTGGTTTCGTGTATGCCACAGGCTCCAGGAAGATGTTAATGGGAAATCAACATCTCTTTTTCCCTATCAGATTTCTCTTTACCACAGTCATATACATAACTATCACTGGGACATTCTGTGGGTTTTGTGGGGAGAATCAGTCACAGCCCTAATCTCACCCTGGGAAATCCTCAGAGGTGGAACATGGTCTCAAGTACTTTTGAATGAGGGTGGTTACTATAACCACATGAAGCTGGCCATTTCCAGAGAGCAATACTGGATACAATAGTAAGTGCTGGGAATATAGGCTCACTGTGTTGATTTGTTAAATTGCACACATTGTTTCATGCACTTCATATAAGTTATAATTTTTTTAAGGAAATTATAACTTTGACAAGGAAAGAAAAAGCACGTTTGAAAAGGAGCCACCGTTGTTTACATCTGTTTTTGCTTTTTGTTTTGTTTATAAGTGGAGGAAGTTGGGGTTCCTATGTAGCTCAAGCTTTTTCTTTCCTTCCCCAAGCCTTTTCTCTCCACCTCTTCTGAGCCCCAGGGTCCCTGTTGTGAATACAAATTGCCTTTCTAGCCAAGTGACATCCATTCTGCCTATGCTTTTGGGCAAAGCATATCTGGAGGAAATTCTTTTACTTCCCTTTCATTCTATTAATAAGAGAAAATGAAGCCAGAGCTCAAGTTTACCTTTCTCCATGGTAGTGACAGCTTTAGAATCACATGCATCTGGGCCAGGTGTGGTGGCTCATTCCTGTAATCCCAGCACTTTGGGAGGCCAAGGCTGGCATATTACCTGAGGTCAGGAGTTCAAGACTAGCCTGGCCAATATGTTGAAACCCATCTCTACTAAAAATACAAAAAAGTTAGCCAGGTGTGGTGGTGCATGCCTGTAATCCCACCTACTTGGAATGCTGGGACACGAGAATTGCTTGAACCTGGGAGGCGGAGACTGCAGTGAGAGTTGAAGTGTACTTTTAAATTGAATATGCTTAATTCATAATCCAGGAATATGTCTATTAGATGATGCCTATCAAATATGAAGTATCTTAATGTTGAATTATACAATGTCATCTGACAAAATAAGGTGACTAATTTGAAAGAAGTGATAAAATAGCCAATCCCATTTTGGAAGACATGGATTCTTTGTCATCATTGAACTCAAACTTACGTGTTTCTATTGCAGAAGAATCCTCAAGTACAGCAACATCGTCAGGTCTCCAGGTCCTCACAAAAATAATCAGGTCAAAAATTCTCAGATGGAAAATTTGAGATGGGAATTCAAATTTGCCAAGGATTATACATTTGTTTTCTTAGTAGGAAGGGTCTTTTAAACAAAGAAGCATTTGTTAAATCAAATCAATGTATGGGCCGGGCACAGTGGCTCACGCCTGTAAAACCCAGCACTTCGGGAGATCAAGGCAGGCAGATGACTTGAGCCCAAAAGTTCTAGGTCAGGCTGGGCAACATGACGGGACCACAACTCTACAAAAAAGTACAAAAAAAATAGCTGGGTGTAGTGGCACATGCCAGTGGTCCCAGCTACTCAGGAGGCTGAAGTGGGAAGATCACTTGAGCCTGGGACGCAGAGGTGGCAAGTGAGCCAAGATTCCAAGTGGCCACCTGCCAGCATGCATGGTTTTTGTTCAGGATGCTCTTTTAGCTCACAGGAAGTATAATTCATTCCCCAGAACATGTGAATGTGTTACCTTATCTGGCATAAGGGCCTCAAGATGCGAAGGTTATCCTGGATTATCAAGGGAAACCTAGTTAGAAACACAAGGCTCCTTAATATGAGAGAGGCATAGAAGGATCAGAATGGTAGGATATGTGTTGACAGAAGCCAGATGGTGGACTGATGTGAGGAAGGGGCCATGAGCCAAGAAATGCATGCAGCATTTTTTTTTTTTTCATTTATGGACTACTTGAATTTGTTAAACATGTATTTTATAATGAAATATTATTTTCCCAGCAGGTAATTCTCTAAGACAATTCACAGAAGACAGCATTTTATCAGTCTTTATAGCACCTTAAAGATGAAAACATTATTTGAATTCAAGATAGGTACCTCAGTATCTAGATCAAACTGAGCTGAGTACTGGAAGACAAATTGAGTGTATTATTCAGTTGCAGTTGGGAGCGTGAACAGATCATCTAATGAATTGCTGCACTGTTATGATACATTTATTACCTTTTGGAATTTCCTTCATGCTTATCAAGGTGTACTGAAGAGAAGTATCTCTGGTGCCTCAGTTTCTCTGAAGTCAGGATAAGCTCTGAAAGCTGAAAAAGGTGAGGAAATGAATTCTCTCCTGAATCTTGACTGAGGAGGAACACAGCCCTGATGACACCTTAATTTTAGACTGGTTTAAATGGTTTTAAACCACAAAATTGGTGGTAATTAGTCAAAATCAGTGGTTATCTGGGGATAGGGAGTGGAGCAGAAGGATTACAAAGTGACACTAGGAAACTTTTGTAGTGACTAATATTTTCATTACCCAGATTGTGGTGATGATTTCGAAAATGTATGCACATCAAAGCTTTTCAAAATGTACACTTCAACCATGTACAGTTTCATACATTAGTATACCTACAAAAATACCTACATATACCTATGTAACACAAGCCTTAAAAAATAGATAGCAATCTTAAATTCACTGGTTAAAAAAATAATAGGCAGAATGAAATCTTACTAGTTTCTGGTATTTCAGAAGAAATCTGAATGTTCTGTGTGTAGGAGAACTCTTACGTTTAGGTACTTGAAATTCTTTCTACTCAAAATTCCTAACTCTGTAAATATGTGTAATTTTTCTATGAAGGTATTCCCAAACAGGTCTGTGAACAAAAAGGGTGGAATTGAAACCACTACTTTAGAGGACTCTGAAGAATGGACACAGTGAAAATGTCACCCTACTCATTATTAGATTACATCTCAATTTTTTTTTTACAAGGACACAAATTAGGTAGACACAATATGTAGACAATCCCAATTATACCCCACAATGGAGTACACACCAATGTGGATCACCTTTCTGTGCCAGGGATTCCCCTTCTCTAGTACATACACCTTCCACTTGGCTAGTTGTTTAGAGCAGAGACAGGAAATCATCCAATGGAGGCTAATGAACAATTTCCCTGGGTAATATAAAATTGTAACTAAAAATCTGACAATAATCTGACTTCTCCCTTGTACAAATAGAGGAGGCTACTGGACCTGGGACATTATCCAACACGTGGATCAGGGAACAGAGAAGTCCAGTCAGGTGAACGACAGAAAGAGGTTAAGTAGGAAAAAAGGTAACTTTCTGCTGTCTCCTACGTAACCCAGTCTCTAGTCCCAGTCTGTTCTAACAATCCAGTTATATCCCTGATTGTGGGTTCCATGAGCCCCCACCACCTCACCCCTATAATAAAATCCTCCTCTCTTTGTTGGCATAGGTGTGTTTCTATCATTTGCAAGCAAAAGACTGTTAAGACAGATTTTATCTTTAAAGGAAACACCAGGTTCACTTTCTATTGGAAAAGTAATTATTTATTATGACAAAAATAAAACTGTTGATGGAAAACAAATGAATGTTACACTTTATTGCACCATGATTGGAAATGAGCCAAAACCTGTCTAAGAGATGAACATTCCAGAGCAAACAGCATCCTTTTACTTGGGTTAAGTAGGCATGCAAACAACTCGTTATAACACAACTGCAGAAATAAAAAAGTATGAGTACCGGCAACCTAAACTTAACATATAAAAGAAGCACTTCATAACAGTAATAAAGTATTAAAAACTTTAAAACATGTCATTTCAACAACCCCACCATCGGGAAAACATGCTTTGAACCATTTTCAAGAAGTGATCATGTGAATGCGTTGATTTACTTGCTTTAAAATTTTTGTTAATGCTTATATAACTGACCAACGGAACACATTTGTTTGGCTGGGGTTCAGACACACAGTTTGTGACAGGAAAAACATTTTTCTTTGCTCTGCACAATTCCAGAGGACCCACAGAGCAATCCAATTCCTAATTCTGACCTTATTGATACTATCTTCTACTTGACCAAGCATGGTAACTAAGATATTCTTAGAGCTTTTGCAGAAAGCCTGCAGCTTGAGGGATAACAAGTTTTTATTTAAGTCTTAAGAAATGCACATGAATATGAATACAGACACTTAAAAGTTGTTTTACATTCTGAGGCAAGAAATATATTGAGTACAGGGCCTACTGCTTCCTCTTTAATGCTCTAAAGCACCCATTTATGTTAAAATAGCAACGTGTGATTATAATCACTCACTCTGATTAGAATAAACGCAGCAGCAGGGCTGTGACTGCTGTTAGGCTTTTTTGTTGTTGTTGTTTATAATATGCTCTGTGGAATAGATGAACATGGTAAAATTTGTAACTCTTCCGTAAGTGAAAAAAACCATGACCATCATTTTATTTCACACTTTCAATGAAATAGCAGCTAAACTTTTTTAAAGTCATAAGTAAAATTTTCATAACTACACTCAACAGTTTACTCCAAGAGAATAAAATAGGGGCTTCAGGGTCCCTAAATTTCCTGAGGGAAAATATACGATGAAAGTGATTATGGTCTCTTGTGAATAGGGCTTGAACATGCAAATAAGTCACTGGTGACCGAGATCAACTGATAGTCATTTGATATCTTACCAACACTGATGGAAATATATTCACAGTATAATGAAATCAATCAAATGTAGGATTTCTCCTTTCTCCTGTTTAATTAAACTAATTAAATATTGACTGAGCACCTTCCTATGTGCTTTAATAAAAACTGTATGTGAATCTGATAGATCTACCATGTTGGTGCAGCTGGTGGTAAACAAGAGTAAAGCAAAACAAAATCTCCAAGGAATGCCATCCTTAGTTATGTATTTTGCATATTTCAAATACAGGTTGGGTGAAGGGGGTTTTTATGAGATGGTACAACATCCCACAAAATTGAACAAAGCACCTTATGGATTGAAAATGAGGTAATTTTTTAATTAAAATTTTATAAGTTGTGCAAGAAAACACTTCCATTCTTTTAAAACTTTGTTTTCTATTCCAAAAGCTATGCACGGCACATTTTATATTTCTCCATTTCCAGGAGAAAATGTAGGTTACTGCTTTAAAAAATGCAAAAGATTCCTTTATGTGATTACAATTCCAAATTCTAAAACCCTAGTCAGTCTTCACTCCTTTGGCCATATTAAAAATAATATAGGCCATCTAGCTCTAGAGTAAAAAGATTGTATTTGCTGTAATTTTAAGTGCCTTAAATAGGGGAGAGGCAGAAATTCATTGCTTTCATTCACATTTTCTCTTACCTGATGTCCTTTTGAAGATTTTTGAACCCCATGGTATTATTGCTTTACTTTCTAGGGCTTTGAATTTGTTTTTCAGTATGTCTCCCACCAACTTAATATTTCCCAAACATTTCACCAAACTACATACATTTAAAGCTGACTTTACGTCTGATGGACACAATTTTTTTTCTACTTTAAATTTAAAATGAAACAGTTGGACATATTTTTTATACTGACCTTCCTCTATTTATTTTGGTCACCTAGAATTCTTAAAAAATACTTTTTGGGGAAACTCGGCTTTTGGATTTCAGTCTTCACAGTAATAGTGAATGAATAAGGATGAGACAGTACTGAAAAACTAACCTTGACTATAAATCACTCTCAGATTTACGTAGATATCTGTAAAATATTAACATCCTGGCTACTGACCCTACTCTTTCAATATGGAAAGTCAAACAGAACTGTAGTTTGGGGTGGCATCAAAAGGCAATAAACTTTGAACAAAGCAACCACTTCCATTCAATTAGTACAAGCCAGGAAAATAAGGTAAATTCTCTAGAAGAGAATCATTTCCAACCCAGGCTGGTTCTGTCTAAGCAGCTTACTATCCTTTTCTTAGCAATATGGCTTGTTTTCTCTTTTGCATTGTCATTAGCTATTTGCTGAATTTAAGTTGAATAGCAGTTGCTCCCTACTTGGTTGTATTCATATCCTAAATAAATTAATAGGTGGGAATCAAATAATGGATAAAAATACATTTAATTTCATATTACATGCATTTCCCTACAATCTGGGAGACTTTTAATTTTTAATAATAGCATGTAAGAATTAAGAAATTTAAAACCAAAAGACATTTTAGAGTTGTAGTTTAAGTTCCTCCATATGGGAAAAACAAAAGCAAAGCCATGGACACTAATTGTCTAAGGTCAACTAGACAACTGACAAATGGCCAAATCAAGGCTCGAATCCACGTTTTTGGATGGCCAGCACAATATTCTACTAGATACAAGATACCATGCTGCATCTTGAAGTCACTTTACCCAGGCAAAATGTAAAATATCCTTTAGAATTGAATTAGAGTTAGGTTTTTTTGGTTCCAAAGCCATAAATGAAAAGTCAGCCTTGTAAAGTTGGTCTCCAAAGATAAATTCCAACAAAATTTATCCATCTTTACATAAGACACCAGTACATTTTTCTACTGATAGAGTTTTACATAGTTAAGCACTAAATAAAAATTGATCATTCAGAACAATTATAGTTTGTCCTAAAAAATATACTAAAAAGGTTTTTTTTTTTTTTTAAAGCTTCTATCTTCTTTAAGATTTTCTTTGTGACTTCCACAACTTTTCAGAGAATTTTGTTTATGGCACTGCCTATCACTGTTTCCACAGTAAGCTAATTATTTTCTTTACGTTATAATGAAAGTTTAATTATGCTTAATCAAAATGACTATGGATATGGGGTGGCACCCATTTAAAAATTTTCAGCAATGAGTCATGAATTTATTACCTTTCCTTTAATGAATATAGAATAAAAGTAATGATATCTTTAAGTATACTAACACAAACTAAAAGCAAAAATTACATATTTAATCTTCAGTTTTAATAGATTATATATATTAATATTCCAGGTTTTAAGGAATTAGTTACATTAACAATAAAAAATATTCAGTATATTCCCTTATAAAAGGTCTTATTAATTCTAAAAGTTCTCAAATGGGCTTCAATAAGAATGATGGGTTTAATTAAAGACGAATGAAGGACATGACATGCTCAAAATTAAGAAAAATGTTGTACTTGAACTTGCAAGGATAATTGTACACTTTGGTTATAACATACTTAAAGATTTCAGTTAAAATTTAATTTCTTTCATTTTCAAATTAAAAGTAAAAGGTAGGACAGTCTCCTTCCTGAAGGTAATATTAATGTAAGTGGGTCTCTTGCTTTTCACTTACTATAAACTGTGTTAGCCAATACGTGGAGGTGAAGAGGGGTATGAAACACAAATTATTTCATCACTGAAATAATTAGCTGCTAATGTAACTTCTAAAGAACAGGTACAATATAAAACTGAGAACTTATTTCAAAATATGAATAAAGGCACTAATTACAAATGTACACTTTTCAGACAGCGTCTTATAATTCACTGATTTATAATGATTCTGACAATGAGTGTCAGAATCAATGCTCTAGGATTAGATACTTGCTTGGGTTAAAACATTCTCTTGGAGTACAAAATAATCAGTTTTCATGTTACTGTAACAGGAAAGACTTGAGTGAAAACCTAAAAAATACTCTTAAAAAGTCTTACATGAATTTGCTAATCACTAACTTTCCCAATCAGAACACTTTACACTGATGCCAATTTCATCTTCAACACATGGCTAACATAAATCATTTCTAATCCAAAACTAACCAAATATTTATTAAAGGATTTAGAAAATATATTGTATTTTAAAAATTAAATAGCAAATTTGAGTCTGTACTAGTAGTTGGCAAAATACAATCAACTATTAAAAACACTTTTAATATAATGCTGATGTGGTAATATAAAAAATAACCATATAATTTGACAGAAGAAAATTGAGCCAGCCAATCCTACTCGATACAAGAAGGCAGATAACCATTCCATAAGAACAAATACAGGAATATTAAGTATGCTTTTTCTCAAGACAGACTTATGAGAATTATCCTCAGTACTTATGGTAAACAATATAGCCAAGTAGAAATTCAGGCAAACTGTGCTTAGGTAAACAGCATCTTCTTAATTCCCCCACACCCCACACACACCACAAAGCATCCACATTGATTGATGTCTGCTTTTTACTCATGTTCTTAACGGTTATTTAAAAACTAAACTAAGTTAAACTAAACTTATAATCTATTTGATGTAGAATCACTAAGAAAACAAAGTTAAACAGCTCCTTTCCAAAGCTCAGAAAGCTTTCCTCTGGCCATTGTTGAGTTCAAGGGTGTGCTACAATTCAAGATAAACCAGAAAAATGTTACCACATTCGACTAAATTAATTTGACTAAATATAATACACCAGAAAAAACAGCAAAATTTAAATCAACTTACAAATAAAAAAGATTAAAATTAAAATGCCAATTTTGAACATATATTTTGATATTATGAACACTGAATCTTATTTTTGATCAAAATTTTTAAATACTGCAAAAATGATTATTTGTATCATTTTTATATCCTCTATATATTCATTTTATCCCTTTTGTTTCAGCAAAATTATGCATTTGAATAAACAGGATTGAAATACAACACTTGCCTTCCCTCTTCATTTAAGGAATATACTGTTTAGATTATTGTTCATATTAGACAACTGCCTCAAAAACCTTTTAATGCCATCCAATAAACTTTTGATAGATTATGACTTTCTCTTTTTAATTTATATGTTGTTAAGAATATTAACTCTGAGTTTCATATTAATATTCTAAAAGCTAGGATTAAATTCAGCAGTTTCCTATAAGATTTTAGAACCCAAGGCATAACTACAAAGATATCAACTGTTTCAAGTCTATTACATAATACCGTCAAATAAATTCAAGGAAAGCCATGTAGTTTTTAAAGTAATACACTGCTGGTGGTAAAAATGCTATGACAGACACAAAATTTTAAGATACAAAATGGACTCCTCATACTTCGACTTTAGATACTGCCCAAAGCAGTTGTGATATATCTTGCAAAGAAAACAGCTAAAATTTCTGTTGATAATAAAATTGTTTATAAACTGATACTAAAATATATTCCAACTGTCTTATTTTTAGTGCTGGTATGCTTTACTAAATTTCGATAGTTTTATGTGCATTGAATAATGTGATGTTCTGAGAATATCAGATTTATTCAAGAATATTTAACATCAAAGCTGGGCTTTTAAATAAATCTTTTACCTTAATTCGTTTTTGACCAAATGTTGTAGACAGAAGAGTGAACTTGATTCCTTTAGATAAATAAACAGCCAACTTAATTTCCATGCAAATAACTTAAACATTATTCCATGACTCGCAGTAATGAGGGCAAAGTTAAAAGTCAATTACTCATGATGTAATATCTTCCTTACATATATCCTCAAGGTAGATTTCTTTCTTTATAGTTAAGTTCTGTCCGATAGATGAATGGCTTATACAGGGAACAACTGTTTAGTGCCAGAGAAGTTTGCAAGCAGTACCTGATGGTTTCCACGACTACTCTATCAAACCAGTAATTCTCTGGTTAGGAGGAAGTGGTGGTCAAGAATTGAAAGCAATTGGTCATTATGGTCATAACAATATTTCAGAAGACATTACACATATGACAAACATTTCTTACAAGGCAGTCACTGAATAATTAGAATAAACAGAAAAATTGTTGCTGAAAACATAGTTATACATTATGTTCATCCAACTGAAGATTAGTGCGTTAAAAAAAAGTTAAGAAAAAATCTTTCATGTTCAGCTGCACTTGATTCAAGTGTTGCTCTCAGAGGTTTGTGTTGTTATAAATTAAACATGCTGCTGCCTTAGCAGCCAAAGGTACTAGGAAAAAATGTTCATGTCACAGAATAAATAGAGCAGTCTCTTTCAAGCAAAAAAGTTATCTCACGCCAATCCGGGAGGTCATCCACTCTAGACCTTGGCATAACCTGAACAAAAGATAGAAGTATTTTTAACATTAAAAACGTTATACTTAAAAACTGAAAGCTTACTTATTTTTAAGTCTTAACCAAAGGTTGGTAGCATAATCATTATTTACATACATCAGTGCCAACATTCAAGAAACAATATAAAAATTGAAATTTTTAAGTGGAATAGTCACTCAAATATCCTTAATCAGTTTGCAGGAAATTGCTTCGGTCTCATCTTGCAGATATAACTTTGCTCGTTTGGTCATAACGATCATAAATACTCCTTGCTTTTTAAAATTAACTGAAACTTAAACCATTACAAAAAGATAGCAGGAACTTCACCTTACCCTCCTAAATTCTAAAGAATAGAGTATTTATGACTCAGTCTTAAAAGTATGAGTCAAAAAAGCCTACACACAGCTATTACACTGCAAGCCATTTCTTATAAATACTAAGAGAAAAACTAAGGTGAGGTTGATTTGAGGATAAATAAGTTCTCTGATATAAACTGGGTAAAACGTAAATAACACTGGGTTCTTCCTGGCCTAATACCCACATTCAAATTGTTAGAAATGGAAGAACAGACTATGATGGCATTTGTCTCAAATGTTTATTGTCTACAATTATGCCTCCAAATTAAGACCTCCTAATAATAAAGGAGATGTACTTGAAGAAAGCTGAGAGCTTAGGTTTAAATCCTTGCAGAAAATGTGAAATTGCTTGCAAGCTTCCTCTTTAAAAGAAAGGTAACATTACAGTTTATTCTCAGTATATGATAAAAGCAACAAAGAACATTAAAAAATTTGGATCTTGAAAACTTAATTCAACAGTTTATTGCTTTTTCTTGGTAAAACATTATATTTACATTAAAAGATTGTCAGTGATTCTACTAGAATTATTTCTATGTCATAAGCCTGAGACACACTGTAAAAAAAAAAAAATCACCTTTGAGAAGAACAAACAAAAAAGAAACAGAATTCAAGAAGAAGACAAGTTGGCCTAAGAAGTTGGAAGAAATCTGAAAGAAGTCATACCTTCCCTCAGACCGATGAACACTTACCCTTCTCCTGTGAGAGCACAGCAGGACTGAATGTGCCACGGGTGATCCTTAATTGAACTAAGGGTGAGGTATTTCGAGATTTCAGCTGCTGTCATACACCCTTTCATATCCTGCTTATTTGCAAAGATAAGAACTGCAGCCTTCCGTAAATCCTGCAATCAGGACAAAATATTTCTAATATGTGAAATACCACAATTTAAATTTACCCAGCTGAACAGTTATAATGAAGGGCTTCTACTTCAACCTAATCGGGCACTAACATTTAATATAAAAATAATCTCAAATACCTGTACTTTCATTATTTAATCTAACAGAGCAGTATTAAATAATTAAAAGTTATTTTTTATTTTTTGAGTCATATTGGTCAAACTGAAAAAAATACATCTGAATTTTAAATAGTGACTCAAAACTACATAAATAATATTCTAATAGGCAAATATGGTAGTATGTTGCCAAATACTAGAGTTTCTCCAGAACTGAAAACTAGAATACTGGTGGTAGAAGCTGGGCAATACTTATTACTTATTAGTCTTAGTATAACATAACTCATTGGTTAACATTCATTTTAGCATTGTTTATACTACCAAAATATTAGAAGAATAGATTGCGATACATTCATACTATGAAAAACTATAGAGCTGTTAAAAGGAATGAACTAAAGCAGTACATATTAACATAAATAAATCACAATGTATTAAGGATAAACCACAATGTTGTACGAAAAAAGCAAGCTGCAGAAGAATATATGTTATATAGCATTAGTTTTAAAAACATGGAATACAATACTCTGTATAATTTCAAGATGTAAAAATGTAGTAAAAGTATAAAAATATGCATAAGAATAACAATCACTACTTGTAGAATAGTAGTCACCTCTGAAAGAGAAGGGAAGAAAATCGGACTGGCAAGGTCTGGAAAGGTATTTCCTACCTTACATTAATATGGTGCATGAATGTGTTTTACTAAATTTCCTTAAATACCTGAAATACTTAGAATTAAGTGATCTCAAGTTATTCGTTAAAGAATTTTCAGTTATTATAAACTTTTGGGGGAAAGATCCTTAAGTTTTCCTATTGCTTATCTCCATTTATCAGACTTTCAGAGGCATGCTTAAGTAACTAACTTTGAACAATTTCTGCAGTAACCGTAATAATCTAATTAATCAAATTAACGTGTTAAGTTTTTTTCAGTTTGAAATAGTAACTAACATTTTTTACCGCAAGACTTTTATCAGTTTAGTATATAAAGCTGTGTTAATGATCAGATGGCCAACACCACATCACATTATCTTTGTAAAAAAGCAAAGGCAATGCACACATACTTGACTACACTGTTTTTTAAAGATTTGCTTTAAACATTTACCTCATGAGCCAACATTCTGTATAATTCTTCTTTTGTAATAGCTAGTCGTTCCCTGTCAATGCTATCAACAACAAGAATGATGAACTAGAAGAAAATCAAAAGGAAAGACAGAAAATTGAATGGGGTGTTGAAAAGTTTTCTGTAAAACTACTCAAGTAATGTAAGTACTTTCTCTACATGGCATCATCATTACTATAAAACATCTACTGCTCTTTTTCATCATAAACAGCTTTTATATCAAGCAGTAAAATCTGAATGTTAACAATAAGAAAATAACTCATAACTTCAACAAATAAAAACTGTGCCCAACTTGATTTTCTTAAAGTGATGCCCAAATACATAATACTATGATTTGCTTTCAAATGCTGTTAGTAAAAAGTAATTTTTGAAAACTTACATTAAATAATATTTTTTTAAATGTAAGTACTGAAAAATGGGGTACTGAAACTTCAAAGTACCCCATTATCATCCATCTAAACAATCAATAATTGCTTACTTACATATACCACAATCTCCTAACTCCTAGAAAGAAAAGCTAGTTTGAAAGAAAAAGATTAAATGCATTTTAAAAATAAATAAGACATTTTTATAAAACAGTATCAACCATAAATGCTCAAGATTGAAACATATATACTTAGAAGTTAATATACTGGAGATGCAGATGAAATTAAATAAAGGCAAGAAGCCAGAAAAAAAAAACAGGATAAATCTGTTGATAAAATTATACATGAAAAAACATAGGTCTTCCATATTTAAAAATTAATAAAATAAAAAGAAGAAGATATAGGCCAGGCATGGTGGCTCACACACATGTAATCCCAGCACTCCAGGGGGGTGGGATGAATGCTTGAACCCAGGAGTCTGAGACCAGCTTGGGCAACATAGTGAGACCCTGTCTCTCTACAAAAAAAACAAAATAAAAATTAGCTAGGTATGTAGTCCCACCTACTTGGGAGGCTGAGGTGGGAGGACTGCTTTAAGCCTAATAAGTTGAGGCTGCATTGAGAATCATGCAACTGCATTCTAGCCTGGGTTACAGAGAGAACCTGACTCATTAAAAGAAAAGAGAGGGAGTGAGGAAGAGGCAGAGATAGAGATGATATAGTGAGAAAGGGCCCTTAAACTGAATACTTTATACAGAATAAAAAGAAATGAGATGAAATGATGCTATTACAGCAGGAGATAGATGCAAAATAAACTGCAACAGCAAGGGTGAAATTAGATTACAGAGATGACTTTAAAATTAGGGAAACAGGCTGGGTGTGGTGGCTCACGACTGTAATCCCACCACTTTTCGAGGCCAAAGCGGCTGGATCACTTGAGGTCAGTTCAAGACAAACCTGACCAACATGGTGAAACCCTGTCTCTACTAAAAACACAAAAATTAGCCAGGTGTGGTAGTGTGCACCTGTAGTCCCAGCTACTTGGGAGGCTGAGGCAAGAAAATTGCTTGAACCCTGGAGGCAGAGGTTGCAGTGAACTGAGATCAAGCCATTGCTCTCCAGCTTGGGTAACACAGTGAAACTTCGTCTCAGAAAAATAAATAGGCTGGGTGCTGTGGCTCACGCCTGTAATCGCAGCACTTTGGTAGGCCAAGGTGGGCAGATCATCTGAGGTCAGGAGTTTGAGACCAGCCTGACCAACATGGTGAAACCCCATCTCCACTAAAAATACAGAATTAACCAGGTGTGGTAGCACATGCCTGTAATCGCAGCTACTTAGGAAGCTAAGGCAGGAGAATGGCTTGAACCCAGGAGGCGGAGGTTGCAGTGAGCCGAGATTACGCCATTGCACTCCAACCTGGGCAACAAAGAATGAACTCTGTCTCAAAAAAATAAAATAAAATAAATTAAAAATAAATAAATACAAGTACAGAAACAGACAACAAATCTGAATATAAACTGAGCTGGGCTTAGAAAGGGATAAATGGAAAGAAGGCTACGTGGCAAAGGAGGAATGGACAGCAGTTGGGGGTGCAACTGTGAGTTAATGAGAGAAACGTGTCGGGAATTACTTAACACCTGTAACTTCTTGTATTATAATGGACACACTGCAGCTTTTAAGGGACTCTTCAATTTGAAGAATTTTCAAAAAGCAAAGTGACAGGGGCTATTGTTCTTTGTAGTAATTTTGATATTCTTGTAGCGATCACTCAATAAAAGAACATTTCATCCAAATGGTATCAGTAATGGATATCTCTTTCTGGACCCATGCTAAGTCCTCCAGAGTTTCAGTCATTTCAAGAACCACTCTTTTGAAATCCTTGAAGTACATATGGATTCACTAGAAACTACTTTGACCTATTCCTCAATAATAACTACCCTTTTCACATCTGGAGTTACCTGTCAGCTTTAAACTACTAACAGCTCTGATGTTTAAATTAATCATATGCAACGTCATTTATCCCTTACTTTTTTTTTTTTTTCTTTTTGAGACAGTGAGACTCAGGCTGAAATGCAGTGGTGCCATCTCTGCTCACCGCAACCTCTGCCTCCTAGGTTCAAGCCATTACCATGCCTTGTCGTCTGGAGTAGCTAGGACTACAGGCGCAGGCCACCACGCCTGGCTAAGTCTTGTATTTTTAGTAGAGATGATGGGATTTTGCCATGTTGGCTATGCTGGTCTCGAATTCCTGGCCTCAAGTGATCCGCCCACCTCAGCCCACCAAAGTGCTGGGATTACAGGAGTGAGCCACCTAGTTTGGCCCTTCCTTTACTTTCTAACTTATTCTGGTTTCAGAACGTTATTTTACGGTATAAATATAACATAAGCTATCCTTTATACTATTTGCTTACCAACATCTTCTGCATCCCCAACAAAATAATTAAGTGCTACCACAAGTGCTGATTATCTATGATATGGCATCTTAGTTTACTACTTACACATTACAATGGAATATATAGACACATGCACACATGGTATTATAATAACATACATCTACAACAATACAGTTATTTTTATTTAAAAAAGAAACTTAGTTCACCAAAAATTCTTCACATTACATCCTTTTCCACCTCCTCCCTCCCAACTCCAATTTTTAAAAGCTTTCATTTTAGAAAAAATAATTGGTTAGGTGTACTTCTTTGCAAAGAACCATTAAATGGATGCAACTGTGAACTCATACTCTCAAGGATAAATCTCTCCAAACTGTACTGAATGGCCTTAAAAGAAAATCTGCCTCTATAAAGAAATAAGAGCAGAAATAGAAGACAAATATATCCAGGTTTGTTCCCCAGGTTAGCTCTGAACTTACAAGTGACAGAGAACTTGGAGAGATGATTTACAGATCCACTTTTTAAAAATTAAAATACAATCTACCACCATTTAAATGTTCAACTCATGTTATAAGAAATTTTTAAATTAAGTTGTACTTAAAAAATGTAAAATATTTTATTCCTCCCCGAGTCAGAGTCTCTTAGAAAGTTGTGAGATCTTAGGAAAAGCTATATAATTTCTCCAAGTGTCAGATTCCCCCAGCCTGGAGACATTAAAATATGGTGAAGATGGGCCAGGCACAGTAGTTCATGCACTTTGGGAGGCTGAGGTGGGTGGATCACAAGGTCAGAAGACTGATACCATTCTGGCTAACATTGTGAAATACTGCCTCTACTAAAAATACAGAACATTAGCTGAGCGTAGTAGCACAGGCCTGTAGTCCCAGCTACTCAGGAGGGTAAGGCAGGAGAATTGGTTGAACCCGGGAGGCAGAGGCGGCAGTGAGCCAAGATCGCACCACTGCACTCCAGCTTGGGTGACAGACTGAGACTCCAGCTAAAAAAAAAAAAAAATTGGGCTGGGCGCGGTGGCTCACACCTGTAATCCCAGCACTTTGGGAGGCCGAGGTGGGTGGATCACGAGGTCAAGAGATTGAGACCATCCTGGTCAACATGATGAAACCCCATCTCTACTAAAAATACAAAAAATTAGGTGGGCATGGTGGTGCGTGCCTGTAATCCCAGCTACTCAGGAGGCTAAGGCAGGAGAATTGCCTGAAGCCAGGAGGCGGAGGTTGCAGTGAGCCGAGATCACGCCATTGCACTCCAGCCTGGGTAACAAGAGCAAAACTCTGTCTCAAAAAAAAAAAAAAAAAAAAAAGGTGAAGATGAATGGAGAAAGCCTGGCCAACAGTAAGCATTCAACTAATAACAGCTCCCAATAGTCTTTCTATTTGCCTTTTCTTCTATTTGAAAACCCAAATTTGGCCGGGCACAGTGACTCACGCCTGTAATCTCAGCACTTTGGGAGGCTGAGGCAGGCGGATCATGAGGTCAGGAGTTCGAGACCGGCTGGGCTAACATAGTGATGCAAGGTTCTTTGAACTGACTGCACCATGGACTACACCATAGTCAAGTTATGGTGACCCCTGCGACTCACACATACACCTCCAGATGGCCTCCCCGAGCAGGAAAGTCTAAGGTCACAGAAAAACCGCAAAGGGAGAAGAAGAGCAGCTAGCTCCTGCAGTGCCTGATAACCGACCTTGCGAAATTTTAACCATTGTTCTTGCCTCGACTGATAAGTCGACCTGTGAGGCTGGACCCTGTGGCCTGATTAACCCACCAAATTCCTTACAACAAAGGATCTTATTAAAAGGCAACTGTCAACATGACCAGGTGCAGCCTATCTACCTTCTATATTTACTCTTTGGTCCTGTTGATTAAAATTCAAAATTAATTTTAGCGTACCTCTGTGTTTGAGTAATATGTGTTCCACGATGACCGCAGGGACTCCTGACCACCAATATCCCACATAAGAAAATGAGTGTTCTTCACAACTATTTCTTCAACATTGCTGCCTATTGTTGGAGAAGTATGAACCACTTCATTCATTAAGCTGTTAAAAGACAAGACACCATAAAAGCGCTTATAAATCTTGAGAACCTGAAGCAACTTTTATCTCTGTATTTTTAAGATCAACCTTCTGCAGCAATGATCATTAGCATACAAATTAGAAACCTGGAGAACATTTGTGTGAATAAATAGCTAAACAACTTCAGAAGAAAGACTTTGTTTTTGGATTTATTTGTTTTTTTAATGGAAGGAATTGCAAGCTTGATGGGAAAGGAAGGAAACAGTGTGGTGTGAATTTGCATTTCTGTGGCCAAAAATTGCCACACCACCATGCACTGCTATCGCTTAGATAAGACCCAATGTCTCATCCCATCCTGAAAGAGCAAGTTTCTAGGTGACTGTGACACCAATACTTGCAAAACAGCAAATATTGGATAGTAGGCTAGCCACAGTTTTGAAGACTGTCTAAATTGAGACTTAGCCACAAAAATTAGTTCAGGCATATTAATCTAAAGTAGTCCTAAAAAGAAGACCACGGGCAAGTGAAAATTTTAATTAACTCTAAATATTTTAATTAACTCTAAATAGTAGAAGGCCAGGCGTGGTAGTTCATGCCTGTAATTCTAGTACTTCGGGTGGATCACCTGAGGTCAAGAGTTTGAGACTAGCCTGACCAACATGGCAAAACCTCATCTCTACTAAAAATACAAAAATTTGCAGGGCATAGTGACAGGCACCTGTAATCCTAGTTACTCAGGAAGCTGAAGAAGGAGAACTGCTTGAAGCCAGGACGTGGAAGTTGCAGTGAGTGGAGATCGTGCCATTGCACTCCAGCGTCAACAACAGAGCAAAACTCTGTCTCAAATACACACACACACACACACACACACACATTTAGAATGCTGAAGCTCATACCCTTCGCATTATCATAATCATTGGTAAGGCTACGTTTATCAATTAATTCAACAAATATGCCCTTGCAGGTAATGTGCCAGTACTGTCTGTGTTAGAGGAGGTGTGCAATTCTCTCTTGGGTTTTATGTATATTTTTGAAGCCATGCATAAAATTATTTCAGGTTTGTGAAATAAGATGACAGATTTCTGAAATGTTTACATGTGATTTTTAAAGCTATTTCATATTTAGACACCTAGTAACTAATGAATGAAAATGTTTTCAAGAAAAACAAGTAGTTAGTCAACTCTGAAACAACAAACCTTAAGTCAGTAGCTTTTTAGCAAAGTAGTTGACAAATGCGTTAATCACTGGCTACTTCTGGCGAGCTGTTTTCCAATGCAAGATGAGTGGCAAGAGGTAAGGACCACATAGTGGTGCAAAGAAATGTCTAACTATTTTGTTAAAGTGTTTGGTAGATCCATTTCAATTGCTTAATAAGGATCATTTCATTGGCACTGAAAGGATAATGGAAAGTACTCTAACAAGTGGAATTTCCTAAGGTATTTATAGATTTCTCTCCAAGTCTCAAGCCTCTACCTCTTGCAAGCTACTGCAGCAGTATTTTTGGAGTGATCACATTTCTTTTGACTTGACAAGCCTGGCTATGTTAAAAATTCCAAAGCTATTAGTCAGGAGAGTAGCAATAGCTTCCTAGAGCTATGAATTTATTTACATCAACCCCAGAACTAAGTGAAATCCACTTTATCACCTCACCCCAGCCTTTATTTATTTTAGTTTAATATTAAGTCTTTCTTTCAAGGCCAGAAAACAATTTAGTGTTTGTGAAGGCTTTAGCAAATATACAACTGTTTATTTCACTCACTTTTCTATAGATTGTGTTTAGTAAAATTTAAAAAAACCATATAATTACAAAAACATTAGTTTCAATAACTAGTGAAAACTGTTTAATAAACACCCATACTTACAATTGGTAAAGAATGGTGGTTTTCCCTGCATTATCCAGTCCCACTATAATTACTTTGTGTTCTACAAAAAGAAAGCAAACCATAAACATTTAACACTGCTGCATTAGTGCAATTACATGCTTTTAACAATGATTATTAGCTCATTAATGAGAATCATTCACTGAATATCTATTACCAGACTGTTAAAATACAGAAAGAAATGTTATGTTGCTAAGGCCACCTAGGTAAAGTAAGACATCAATTATCATTGATTCTCTGTCTAGTTCTCTTGTAAAAGAACGTGGGAGATGGGTAGGCAGGAAACACCAGAGAAGTTGGTCACTTGTACTGTGTCTAGAGGAGGGGAGACCCAAATGTTAATCTAGGCAAAAATTATAACCTAAAATGTAAGTTTTTTAAAAAGCCTCTTTTACATACCTTTTTAGCTCTGCACCAATCAAGTTAGCTTTTTATCAAATTGTTTTCACATCTGTAAATTTTCCCACCTATGTGTACCAAGATCTGTTTCTTCCTCTCACTTAAAAAATCCCATTTAAAGCTTAAAATTGAAATGTTTCATCTGTCACAAAGACATATGTATATTCTCAACAAGGTTTTACACAATCTCTTACTGTTTAACTTTTTTTTTTCCATCTGGATGCTACAATCCTTTTGAGCAGATGCTGTTTCTGCTCTTTGTACAACTAAAACCTCTTCAGTTCTTTCTTCTTTTGGGTGTCATGCACTAGTCACCTCTTTTAATAAGCAGTTGCTAAAGCTCATCTAATTATTCTGTTAAGTGGTACATATTCTGCAATGTCCTTTGAATACAGAAAACACCCCAGATACCATCTTCCCTAAATTTTAACTTATGCCAAGTAAACTAAAAATCCCCTTCTCCAAAGCAGAAGAATGCTTGAAAGGTTACAAGTTAACATCAACAGTGCACTAAGGAAGTCGCCACAGAATCACAACACAGTCGATTTATAGGCCACAATTTGGCACATCTCACATCAGAACCCTCCTCTTCTTGATGACCTCTGGTGAATGCCAACATTCTGGTCATACAATCAACCCTCAGATCATATTCCGATTCTGAAGTCATAATACTTCATCAGCCAAAGAAAGAGGGACCAGAAAAAGTTAAGTTCTTGAGATGTGCAGGTCTTCTAATGACCTACAGTCTCGGCACAGCCTGTAACAGTTGAGAATAAACAGACATGGTCTTCTGGAAGGGCTATTTTCGCCATGGCAGAAGCTGTTTTGTAAAACAAAACAAAACAAAACAAAACAAAACTTGCCTGCTTAGTATAACTCATTATAATTCTCTCTTCCTCTCCCTCTCTCTCGTCTCCCCACCACTCTTTCTTTTGAGACATGGTCTCACTTTGTTGCCCAGGCTGAAGTAGTCTCATGATCAAGACTCATTGCACCATTGACCTCTCAGGCTCAAGTGATCCTCCTACCTGAGCCTCCTGAGTAGCTAAGACCCCAAGTGCATGCCACCATGAACAGCTACATATCCTCTAATTTCTAATGAAGCCAGTCTTTACATATTATCCTGTTTGCAATCCCTCAAAGTACAAGAATGTGTAACAGTGGAGGAACAAACAGATTACCTGGCACTAAGCATTCTAAATTTTGGCGAGAGCTAGAAACTCCACCTACCAAGCATCTAGAGAAAACAAGATGCTTATAGTGGTGAGAAGGAAGCCATTAGTTTAAAGATAAGCAAAACCTGAATGCAGATAATCCTGTTGGGAGAAAGGAATGGAGGGATAGTACCAGATGGCTCCTTGTTGAAGCAACTCAAGTAAATACCCAGCTCATTTTCAAACAATCCTGCTCCTTGCTTCACATTTTGCATTACGATGCTTCACATAATACTGAAGGCCTGTGATGGCAAAATTCACCAATAATGCACTATTTTAAAAGGTAGGTCCCTAACGTGAAGTAATTTTGGGTTAAGACACTGGACTGTCAGTTATAGTAAATCAGAATGTTTTAGGCCAGGCACAGAGGCTCATCCCTGTAATTCCAACACTTTGGGAGGCCAAGGAGAAGTTATCAGTTGAATCTGGGAGTTTGAGACCAAACTGAGCAATACAGTAAGATATCACCTCTTAAAAAAAAAAAAAGTTAGCCAGGTATGGTGGCACATGCCTATAGTCCCACCTACTCAGGAGGCTGAGGTGGGAGGACGGCTTGAACCTGGGAGGTCAAGATTACAGTGAGTGTTGATGGGGCCACTGCACTCCAGCTTGGGCAACAAAGTAAGACCCTCTCTCAAAGAAGAAAGAAAACAAAACAAAAGAAAAAAATAATGTTTTAACAATGTGTCCACATACTACGAGACAGTCACCTGAGACATCGTATTTCACTAGAAATCTCTCTCTTCCAAGAGACCAAGCTGTGTTCTTTCCCCCAATAAAAGGCTAAGAAAGAAGAGTGCCTTTACTAATCTATGCATATCCAGAGCCCCACATGATGCACGTTTATTTATACTAACTGAAGAAAAGGTCCAATTTAATAGTTTTTGTTTAATTTTGATCAAGTGCGTGCACGGAAGTTTCTCTGCACTCTTAGCTATTGTGTTTGTTCTTTTCTTTTTCTTTTTTCGGTAATGAGACATAAAGACTAAATATATAGGATGGGTATCCAAAAGAAAATTAGTGAGAACACTTGTAGAAAAATGCAGGTTAAAAAAAAATGAATGACTGCAATAGACTAACACCATGGGAAGAAGAGTATTAAAGAAGCACTAAATAATAGCAGTGTTAAAAATAAATAACTTGTGAAATGTGTCCAAATTTATTCTAACACATTAAAATCTGATATTGTTCAATTGTGTGATAAAGTGACCAACTTATAATTTTAACACATAAGAAAGCCTAAAAAATATAAGAAGAGATTGCCACCTTCTAAGTCTATAACATCTGCAGCAACACTGCCATGTAACTACAGAAGGTCTTATACATAGACAGTGTGTAAACAACCAAAAAAATCAACGAAATGAACGAAAATATCCAACTTGGTAACTTAGAACATTTGGAATCTAGCACAGAAGTTTGAATTACTGCAAGGAGAAAGGCAGTAAAAAGCTAGATGATGTGATGTCACATCTAAGACTTGAAGACCTAGACACCAATGATGAATAACCAAGGAAGTCTGGCTCTTGAAAATAAACAAAAACCCATAAAAAACTAACTGTCCTACATTACACTGACTATAGGATCATAAGATTTGCTTGAGACAAACCACAGTACTTGAGACATATTCCTCCCTTCTCCATGCCTTCCTCTCCAAATGCACATCTAAAAACCTGACTCCAAGATAGCCCAAAACTGCAGACCCGGAACACCTTACTTATTTTATAGATAAGGAAACTGAAGTCCTAGGAAGTTAAGTAATTTTCTCTTGTAATTACACAGTGAAAGCTAGAATTTCCCTGCTCTTTCTGCTATGCCATATTAACCTTCCTCCATAATTCTCTGGCCTCCCCCCATTCCCAGCACAGTACCCATATTCCAGAACACCTAAAGTGTTTAAGAGCAGCAGCGCAAACCTGATTATTTAACAACTCAACATTTACTAAGTTCATTTAAATGCCTGCGATATTTGTGATTAAGATGAACAAGGCAATGACTCTGCCCTCAAGAATCTTATTGAGTATGTAAACAAGCACTTACAAAATAGTGTAATTACTACAAAGTAATAGATACAGAAGTATCATATTAGTAACATTCTTAAGGATGAGATCTAGAATCCAAGTCTCAGATACCAGGAAAAAAAATGTCAATAATGAAAGTAATATACTAGTGTTTTACATGCAATATGTAAGTTTATCCTCATAATCATTCTAAGGGAAAGTGATAATATTTCTCATTTTGCAGATGAACAAATTGAGCCTTGAGTTGAATAACATGCCAAAAGTCATAATGCTGGGAAGTAAAGAGAATCTTTGATTCCAGAGGTGGAGCTCTAAGCTATTACATAATGTTTCATTAACCTGGTCACTTTTAATACTATTTATATAATAGTAGCAGGCTAGATATAAATACAATGTTTAAAGAGATTTTATTTTTTAATTCCTAAAATATTTTATAATTTAAAAATGCTTTTGTATTGAATGAGTATTTAAAATGTATTATCTTCAAGAAGCTTAAAGCCTAAGGGAAAAGATAACCATGTTCTAGATCCTAGTTTCTTCTCATTTCTGTAGTAGATATGAAAAAACATATTTTTTACTTTTTTGTTTTTGAGATAGAGTCTCGCTCTATTGCCAGGTTGGAGTACAGTGGCATGAACTCAGCTCACGGTAATCTCCAACTTCCTAGTTCAAGCGATTCTCCTGCCTCAGCCTCCTGAGTAGTTGGGATTACAGTCACGTGCCACCATGCCCAGATAATTTTTGTATTTTTAGTAGAGATGGGGTTTTGCCATGTTGGCCAGGCTGGTCCCGAACTACTGATCTCAGATGATCTGCCTGCCTTGGTCTCCCTAAATGCTGGGATTACAGCATGAGTAACCACACCCAGCACACATAAAATTGTTTTAATAGGCAAAGGATATGAACTGTCTTCAAAGGACTATATACAAACAGCCAATAAACACATGAAATAGTCATCAACTTCAATAGTCACCAGAGAAACGTAAATTGAAACGATAATGAGATACCACTACACATCCAAGAGAATGCCTAAAATGAAAGACTGACAACACCAAATGTTGGTAGGAATGCAGAACATGCAGAATTCTCAAACACTCTTGGTGAGAGTACAAAGATGGTATAACCACTTTAGAAAATAATCTGGCAATTTCTTATACAAGTAATATTGTATCTGTCCTGAAATGGCATCCAGGATATTTACCTAAAAGAATAAAAATATGTCTACAAAAAGTCTTAAAGGTATTTATCGTATTACTACCCATCAAGATGTAAAGGAATAAACTGTGGTGCATTCATGCAATGGAAGTTTCAAAAAACTTAGAAGACATAGTGTTCATGAAAAAAAATGCCCCAAGAGAAATTATAAAAAATTTAGCAAATAAGAAAAAGATTTTATAAATGAAAACTATGATAGCTGAACCAAAATACTTAACAGGAGAATTGAAAGACCAAGAAAATAACCTACAAAATAGAGCTCAAAACAAAAAAGAAAGACATAACACAGTAAGATAGAAAAGAATCTTTGATAACCAGTTGAGCAGACTATGACCAATAGAATTTCCAGAAATGAGGAATAAGTGGAACAATCCAAGATGGCTGATTGCTAACATCTCGGGATTGCAGGTCTCAGTGAAAGCGCAGAGAACTAGAGGACACCACACTTTCAGACAAATTCTGGTCGCTCACGGAGCAGAAGATCCCCAGTGGAGGAGTCACACGGGTCGCCAGCGCGACTCTTGTGGCCGGCGAAGCGGTTTCGCGGGCAACCTCGGCTCTTGGAGCAGAGTAAACAGGGCTGGCTCCCCTTCTGACCGAGGTTTGGAGGACCCACACGGGTCCCCAGCATGCCTCCAGAGGCCAGCGCAGCAGCTCTCGGCGCAGAGTAAACGAGACTGGTTCCCCTTCTGACCAACGTTTGGAGCCCCGGGAAGGCAGAGTCGCCTATTAAGGACACAAGAAGGAAGCCAGACAGGAGAATCCTGGGCAGAAAAGCACCATCGGTCTTAACGCCGCCGTTCTGGCCCTGGGAACTAACAACTTGGATGTCCACTCAAGAGACCCAATCTGAAAGTTGGTAATTTCAAAGATGACAGGAGGATAAATTTACAATGATGGGAAGAAACCAGCATAAAAAGGCTGAGAATACTCAAAATCAGAACGCCTCTCCCTCTAAAGATGATCACAGTTCCACATCAACAATGGAACAAGGCTTGATGGAGAACGAGCTCATCCCAATAACAGAATCACGCTTCAGGGAATGGATAAAAAACTTCTGCGAGTTAAAAGAACATGTTGTGGCCCAACGTAAAGAAACTAAGAACTTTGAAAAAAGGCTTGATGAAATCCTATTGAGAATACACAACGTAGAGAGGAAAATAAGTGAATTAATGGAACTGAAGAATACAATACAGGAACTCCAAGAAGTATGCACAGGTTTAAACACTCGAATTGTTCAAGCAAAAGAAAGGATATCAGAGGTCAAAGTCCAACTTAATGAAATAAAATGAGAAGAAAAGATTAGAGAAAAAAGGATAAAAAGGAATGAGCAAAGTCTCCAAGAAATGTGGGACTATGTGAAAAGACCAAATTTACATTTGATAGGTGTACCTGAATGCGACGGAGAGAATGAATCCAAGCTGGAAAATACCCTTCAGGAAATTATTCAGGAAAATTTTCCTAAACTAGCAAAGTAGGTCAATATTCAACCCCAGGTAATACAGAGAACACCACAAAGATATTCCTCAAGAAGAGCAACCCCAAGGCACATAATCGTTAGATTCACTAGGGTTGAAACGAAGAAGAAAATACTAAGGGCAGCCAGAGGTCAGGTTACCCACAAAGGCAAGCCTATCAGACTTACAGCAGATCTCTCAGCAGAAACTCTACAAGCCAGAAGAGAGTGGGGGCCAATATTCAACATCCTCAAAGAACAGAACCTTCAGCCCAGAATTTCATATCCAGCCAAACTAAGCTTCACAACTGAAGGAAAAATAAAATCTTTTATGAACAAGCAAGTACTCAGAGATTTTATTACCACCAGGCCTGCTTTACAAGAGCTTCTGAAAGAAGCATTACACACAGAAAGAAACAACCAGTATTAGCCTTTCTAAAAAATACCAAAAAGTAAAGAGCACCAACATAAAGAAGAATTTACATCAACAAATGGATAAAACAGCCAGTTAACATCAAATGGCAGTAACCCTAAATTTAAATCGACTAAATCCCCCAATCAAAAGACACAGCCAAAACCCAATGGCATGTTACATCCAGAGCTGTTTCACATGCAAGGATACACAAAGACTCAAAACAAAGGGATGGAGAAAGATTTACCAACCAAATGGAGAGCAAAAATAAATAAATAAATAAATGAAACGCAGGAGTTGCAATTCTCGTATCGGATAAAATAGATTTTAAAGCAACAAAGATATAGTGGTAAAAGGATCAACGCAACAACAAGAGCTAACGATCCTAACACCCAGATAGGAGACTTAGATTCAATGAGACAGAAAATTAATAAGGATATCAAGGACTCGAACTCAGATCCAGAACAAGTAAACTTAATAAATATTTATAGAGCTCTCCACTTCAAAGACACAAAATATACATTCTTGTCAATACCACATCACACCTACTCATAGGTTTAAATGAAACATTGATTGGTCATTATTAATACCCATCTTTTTTCAGAATAAAGCAATATTTCCCTTCATCCTCCCTCTTTCTCTTCCTCTTTCTTCCTCTCCTTTACTCATTTTTTTCTTTCCTTCTCTCAAAAAAAAGAAGAAAAAATGAGGAATAAAAAAAATCTGATGAGAAATTATGAAATAAAAAAAAAAAAAATCACACAACCAAAGGAGGTATATCTTTAGGATAAAAAAGTTCAGAGAGCCTACATATAATGCATTTTTAAAATGACGTAACAGGGTACACCCCCTGAAATTTAAAAACACCAGAGCTAAACAGAAAATTCTAAAAACTGCTAGAGGAGAAAAAAATCAAGAATGAAGAAAAGACAGTCTTTAGGATTCTGAAAGAAATGTTTTCCAACTCAGAATTCTGCAGCCAGACCAATTATAAATCAAAAGTGAGGACAGTCAAATAAATCTTCACACATGTGGAAATGCAAAAAAGTTACCACTTATGATGCAGGAAGACTGCTTTAGCCCAAGAATTCTAGACCAGCCCTGGCAACACAACAAAATCCTGTCTAAAATAAAAGATAAAGACCTTAAGATAAAATAGAACAAAACAAAAATACGCTACGGACACTTTCACAGGAAATTTCTAAAGAATGTGCTTCATCAAGAAGTGAGAGTAAAGCAAGAAATAACACATAGGTTTAATGCAATAAAAAAGCAATGGAAATTCCTAGACTGAAACGAAAGTCAAGTTCAGCACAGCTGTATACCAGGCACAGAGGAAAACAAGTCCAGATCAGGGCAGGATGGAGGACAGAGGGAGCTGGGAGGAAAGATCAATCATCTGATAGGTGTGAGGTGGGAAAAACTTACCCAGAGGCTTTTGGATAGTGTGAAACAGTTTCTCCAAATGTACAAAGAAAACTAAAGCAATGAGAAGTTTGAATTATTTACTCAAGAAGGAAGAAGTCATTGAAAAAAAGGAATATAATTACAGCACACTATGGCTCAGCTGTAAAAAACTTTACAGTCACAATAATGAAAACACTAAGTGTGGATTAAACCAAAATACTGTATCAGGACAAGTAGGAGGGGAAATAAAAGTACTAACTTCTTTTTTTAACCATAAGATAAATGATAATGTTTAAAAATTATATCCTGGAAAAAAAGTTACAAGTTTCAAGAGATATGAGGGACACACATCATTTTAAAATGTTTAACTTATTTAAAACAATATATATGTATCACTTTTATGTAAGATTTTATGTTGAAAAAAATTTGGAAAAAAATTAGCACCTACTATGGGCCAGGCATTGGGGATACAATAATGAATAAGACAAAGTTCATGCCTAGAGAAGTTATCTCCACTGAAAGAAACAGACAATAAAGAAGTAAACACATTTATAATATAATTACATATAATAAAAACATTATCGAGAAAAACAGCAAAGTAAAGACAGAGAAAAGGCCAAACACAGTGATTTAGGCTTGTTATCCCAGCACTTTGGGAGGCCAAAGCAGGTAAATCACTTGAGGTCAGTTCAAGATCAGCCTGGCCAACATGGTAAAACCCAGTCTCAAACAAAACCAGAGAATGAATGTTTGTGGGGGATGACTGCTAATTATTTATTTATTTTATATTTAGAGTTAGGGTCTCACTCTATCTCCCAGGCTGGAGTGCAGTGGTATGAACATAGCTTTCTACAGCCTCCAACTCCTGGGCTCAAGTGATCCTCCCACCTCAGCCTCCTGAGTAGCTAGGATTATAGGAATGAGCCACCCCACTTAGCAAGAGTACTATTTTTGATAATGTGATCGGAGTAAGCATCTCTGAAGAGTCACATTTGATAAGAAATCTGAATGAATTAGTGAGTTAACTAAACCATTCATAAAGAATGGTCTAAGCTGGGTGTAGTGGCTCAGGCCTATAATCTCAGCACTTTGGGAGGCTGAGGTGGACGGAACACAAGGTCAGCAGTTCAAGACCATCATGGCTAACGCAGTGAAACCCCATCTCTACTAAAAATACAAAAAATTAGCCAGGCATGGTGGTGCACGCCTATAGTCCCACCTACTCGGGAGGCTGAGGCAAGAGAATTGCTTGAACCCAGGAGGCAAGGCTGCAGTGAGCCGAAATTGTGCTACTGCACTCTAGACTGGGAGATAGAGCGAGACTCCATCTCAAAAAAAAAAAAAAAGGTAAGTTTAAAAATAATAATAATTAAAAAAAAAAGGTCTGCCTGGGCATGGTAGTTCACAGCACTTTGGGAGGCGGAGGTAGGAGGATCACTTGAAGTCAGGCATTCAAGACCAGCCCAGCCAACAGGGTGAAATACCATCCTTACCAAAAATACAAAAAATTAGCCAGATCTAGTGGCACACACCACTTCTCCCAGCTTCTCAGGAGACTGAGGCAGGAGAACTGCTTGAACCTGGGAGGTGAAGGCTGCAGTGAGCCAAAATCCTGCCACTGCACTCCAGCCTGGGCAACAGAGTGAGACTCCAACTTTAAAAAAAAACAACAAAGGACGGAAGATCCAAGATGGCCGATCAGGAGCAGCTCAGGATTGCAGCTCCCAGTGAAAACGCAGAGGAAAGTGGCATGTTAGCCAAGGCTTTCATTGACCAAGAGAAACTCAGCCCAGATGATGTCATGACTTGGCTGGCCCTTCATGAACTGAAAAATCTCACCCAGTATAACTGGCTTTTGGATGGTTTCCCAAGGACACTTCCACAGGCAGAAGCTCTAGATAGAGCTTATCAGATCGACACAGTGATTAACCTGCATGTGGCCTTTGAGGTCATTAAACAACGCCTTACTGCTCGCTGGATTCATCCTGCCGGTGGCCGAGTCTACAACATTGAATTCAACCCTCCCAAAACTGTGGGCATTGATGATCTGACTGGACAGCCTCTCATTCAGCATGAGGATGATAAACCAGAGACGATTATCAAGAGACTAAAGGCTTATGGAGACCAAACAAAGCCAGTCCTGGAATATTACCAGCAAAAAGCGGTGTTGGAAACATTTTCTGGAACAGAAACCAACAAGATTTGGCCCTACATATATGCTTTCCTACAAACTAAAGTTCCACAAAAAGCCAGAAAGCTTCACTTACTCCATGAGGAGAAATGTGTATAACTATTAATTGTAAGATGGGCAGACCTCCTAGTCCTTGCATTTAGAAGCTGCTTTTCCTAAGACTTCCAGTATGTATGAATTCTTTGAAAATTATATTTTATTTCTACTGATTTTATTCTGGATTAATTTTATTTCTACTGATTTTATTCTGGATACTAAGAATGTGCCAAATGAGTCAGATACTAAGATTCATCCTTTGAAATCAACTAGTGTGTTTTATTCAGTTATCCTCAAAAACATCAGTCATGTCTGAACTTTTAAAACATCTGTTAGAGCAAAATTAAAAGAGCATTTGGTAGTAATCTAACGTTTTGTTCAGTTAATAAGTGGTCAGTAAAGTTTCCATATTTTTCTGGAAAAGTTAAAAAAAGTTACATGCCATTTGGGGAAAATGTCAGATATTTTTGCCTAGAGTGATGCCAAAAAAGACATTTCTAGCATTTTGGAACATAGTGAGACACTATGTAAAATTCCAGAAAGCAAGCAACTGGATTTACAGATTTGTTGTAAGACACAAATTCACTGCTGCCTTTACACTAAGAAATGTATATGCTAACCACATATGCTGTATTTATTTTGTTGTTAACCATACTTTGTTTACTCTGAATTTTCGATTTGCTATAAAAATTTACCAATTCACATAAAGAAAAATCTTACTTTAAGATGACTCGTTTCCTTTGAAAATGCATGTGTACTGAGGATTATGATTTATATCAGAAATTGACATTATAAGTCCTTGGACAAGCACCAAAGTTGAATGAATTTTCAACAAAATGTAATTAAAGTCTGTTTTCAGATGTGACTCAGGTTAAGAAATGTGTTTCGGGATCTACTTGCCAGTTTCTCTTTTTTTTGATCCAAATGACTGATCTGCCCTGATAAAATAACAAGTTAGGGTACCATCCCCAACCCTACAAAAAAGAAAAGAGAAAAAACCCATGGCACTATGTAAATAAAGTAGGCATACTGTAATTAATAAATAGATGAGGCATGCCTGGGAAATGCTCCCTTGGCATAAATATCAATCAATCACAATTAGCAAAATGGTATGCCAATGAAAAGAATTTATATGATATGTTAACAGGAAAGTGAGTGAGTTTCCTGAAGGAGTTCTTTGTTCCTGATCAAAGATATCAATATCTGTTCTTCAAGATGGCCGCGGAAAACAAAATCAATACCTGTTAGCATTCACTGCCACCTTATTATAAGGAGAAAGAACTCTATTGGTGTCATCTGAGCAGCCATTTAAAAATTGGAAGCTAAAGTGATTCCTTAGTGGGACAACAAGGATGGTTGCTGATGTACTGTTTGGTCGGGTAGAAGTGGGGCAATATGAGAGGTGGAGGAAATTTGAGGGCAATTTACTCTTACTTTACTTGGTGCCAAATCAAATGAAACAAGCCCTCGTACAAGCTGTTATTAATTACCTTTAAAAATCTGTTTTATTTTTTTCCAGGTACTTAAAATACAAGTGCAAGTAAGTGGTTCTTATGTATGTTGGGGGGAAAATTTTATTTTCTTTTTCTTCCAATACTTTAAAAATTCATCAGTCTTTTAAGATGAACCAAGTTTTTTTTTAAAAGAATTCTAGTAAACATTCCATTCTTTATAAAACTTTCTCTAATGTCTTATTTGAATGTTATTCTTATGTGCTTTCTAAAAATGTTGTGAACTACCAAACTTATGGATTATTACTAGGTTATCGGGCATACATTAGTCTTTATCAGAACAAAACGAATTTCATAACTGTGAAAAAAAACAAAACAAAAAGAATGGTCTGGAAGACAGGATGCAGATAGATGATGATAAGTTTAAGACTGGTGTGTTTGAAACAGGCATAAAGTCCAGAGCTAAGTGCAGAATAAGCTAAAGGGAGAAATGTGAGCCACAAGATCTGAGACCTGAGAAGTCAGAAGTACAGGACAATAATCATAAACAGTTGGAAACCAATGTGCAAACTGATAACATGAAATTAATGAATGGGAAAGAAATTATTAAATAATGAAATTAAGATGTTACTATTACATGGTTCTGAAAAGGAACTCCAATTAAAACCGTATTTCATTTGTTCTTAATACTGGGTAACAGCAGATATAACTGGCCAGGCACGGTGGCTCACACCTGTAATCCCAACACTTTGGGAAGTTGAGGCATGATCACCTGTGGTAAGGAGTGCGAGACCAGCCTGGCCAACATGGTGAAACCCTGTCTCTACTAAAAACACAAAAATTAGCTGGGCATGGTAGCAAGTGCCTATAATCCCAGCTACTCAAGAGGCTGAGGCAGGAAAATTGCTTGAACCCGGGAGGTGGAGGTTGCAGTGAACACCGCGCCACTGAACTCCAGCCTGGGTGTCAGAGCAAGACTCCATCTCAAAAAAGAAAAAACAAAAAAACTGATGACAGGTTGGTACAGTCATAAAACAGAGAGAAAAAGACTATGCCTACAAAAGTTAAAAAAAGAAAAATGAACGCAAAACTTTAGAGGTGAGCTACCATACACACATATGTAGTTCACAGAACTACAATGATATATAAAATGTTTGCAAAGATAATCAGATTTTGAAATTATGTCCTTAAATAACTGTAAAAGTAACCAGTCTTCCAGTTTAAATAATACGAAATTGCAGGAATTAGGTACTTTTTAAATTGTTGTACTTAGACAACACATGCTTTAGTATATTTATACACAGAAAGGTATTAATTTATAAGATGCATGAGGCTCTAAAATGCTACAGGAAAAAAAAAGATGAGAATGTGGAAATACTGGAAGAAAGACAAGGGAAAGGAGTACATAAAGTAAGATCAGAAGTTCTTAACACTGGCTGCATATTCAAATTACCTTGGCACTGATGTCCAGGCTACCTCCTCCCACTCTGATTTAGTTGGTGTGAGGTGGGGCTTTGGGCATATTATTCTAATATATCTAAATCCACTGGATTAGATATGCATAGTGACAAAAATAGAAAATGCTGAGCTTGGTAGTTAATTTTGTTGATGCAGAAAACAAAAATACAGGCTAAGATACATCTGTGGATTAGTCTTCAATGGCTCCCATTCCTTGCCCTAGATACTTTAATGTCCTAGTCAACTTTGGAGGCCCTCTATGATAAGGTTCTCCTGGCTGTCTTTCCAATCTCATCTCCTCCTCACTCCTTGACAAGCAAACTAACATACAGCCAAGCTCAACTATTTTCAGCTTCTCTAAATGTACCAAACTAGCTCATTCCTCTCCCTTTTGCATATTAATCCTTCTGCCTAGAACAACATGTCCCTTCTACAAGGTCTGCCTAGCATGCCACCCAAATTCCTCCTCATCATTACATTAAAGTCCAAGTACACATTATTCTGCAGCCAATGTTATATTTTTACACATATCTGTTAAATAATTTACCACCTGCATTTTTTTCAATATTCATCTCATTTACTGATGTTTCAGTACTTAGCCAGCAAGTAAGGTATCCTTCTTCTTTCTTTTTAATTTTGGATCTCATATGCTTAACTCGGAAGAATGGTCTATGGTTGTATGAATGAATGAGAATAAAATAACAGTATAACCACTGGTTCTAAATTTTCCAACAGGAAAGTTAAAGGAAAAGGAAAATTCTAAGTAGAAATGGTGAGTTAGGAGGCCTGAACAATTACGTGATTATAAAAGTAGCCACTGGCTGTCTTTCATTATCTTCTAAATTTTCCCCTTACATCTTTTATTCCCTCTAGTCTGATAAGGATGCCTCCAACGAAAACAGACAGAAGGCAGCTATGCAGCCATGTGACGGAAAGGGGAGAAAGGAAAATAGAAAAGGATACACAGGGAAAACCAATTACTCTGGTAACGTTTTAATTCTCAAGCTCAGGAAAAACTGAAAACTTGTGATTTTTGTATTAATCTTTATACCGTTAAGCATGTCTTAAATGCTGCTTTAAGGCCAGCGCAGTGGCTCACACCTGTAATACCAGCACTTTGAGAGGCCGGGGCGGGTAGATCACCTGAGGTCAGGAGTTTAAGACCAGAGTGGCCAACATGGTGAAACCCCCTCTCTACTAAAAATACAAAAATTAGCCGGGCATGGTGGCAGGAGCTTGTAATTCCAGTTACACAGGAGTAAGAGGCTGGAGAATCGCTTGAACCCGGAATGCAGAGGTTGCGGTGAGCTGAGATCGCACCACTGCACTCTAGCCTAGGCAACAGAGCGAGACTCTGTCTCAAAAAATAAATAAATGGGAACAGCGCAGTGGCTCACGCCTGTAATCCCAACACTTTGGAAGGCCGTGGCAGGTGGATCACCTGAGGTCAGGAGTTTGAGACCAGCATGGCCAACATGGTGAAACCCTGTCTCTACTAAAAATACAAAAAATTAGCCGGGCACGATGGCGAGTGCCTGTAATCCCAGCTACTTGGGAGGCTGAGGAAGGAGAATTGCTTCAGCACCTGAGACGGATATTGCAGTGAGCCGAGATCACGCCACTGAACTCCGGCCTGGGGGACAGGGCAAGACTCTATCTCAATAAATAAATAAATAAACAAAAACAATATGTTAAATGTACGGATAATACAAAGTGTAAAGCTCTGCTCACTTTGAAACCATTTGGTAATATCTCTGGTTACTGCATATAGACATATACATACACACGTGTGTGCCTCTATCTTTATTTATAAACTTGAAAAAGACTATTTTAGTGTTCTTACCAATCTACAAAACAAGTCAACTAAAGCCATTCCATTACCTCCATAACTTCTTAAATCCAGAAAAAGATTAGATACCTACATTAGCAGTAACAAATTCGTATCAACATAAAAGGAAATAAAACTGTCTTACTAATTATGCCTGGCTCTTAAATGGAAAATGAAACGAGTTGATTTTCAAAACTGGTTTCAAATCCTAAGAAACCATTCTGTTCGAAGGACCCCTAAAACTTTAACTTATCGTCAGCCCCTTTTTTGGTCTGGGTGTTTTCTCTCTTCAGAAGACATCACATCTCATTCTGACTCAGAACAGGTTTTACAACTTCTTGGTCCTTTGGACTTGCCACTTCCAGGTGTCTCATAACCTGCTCCAGACTAATTACGGACACGTAACGTCTTACACAAAACCGAGAACATTCAGTATCTGAACTCCTAAAAAAGTGTTTAGGATGAAGATGCCGGAAAACTCGTGTATCTGAATAGGACAACTCATTCCCGAGTCTAGAAGAAAGGCGAAATCAGAGTGAAGGTGCACTGGCTTTCGGCTCAGAGAGCAGGGCGGGAAAACAAAGCAGCAACACTAGTTTTAAAAATAAGTTTTCGGTTTCTGGGCGGACACTTATCCTGGGGCTACACACAGACACAAGCATGCTTCAATAAGACAGGACAAGGCCCTCCGGGTATCATTAGCTGTATATCCAGCTTTACTTCGCCAACATCCACACATTCTCAATTTGGATTCTGGGACACCAAATGCCTTGTCTTCTGCCTCCGTTTCTACCACGACCTCAGGTCTCTCCTGCACGTCCTCCAGATAAAATACTGAGTTTCTGCCCGCCCCCTGGTCTAAGTCCCTTCCTCTTTGGCGTCTCCCCTGCCTCCGGTGTCCCCATGGGCAGCCAGACCCTCCGCCTCGGATTCGAGCTTCCGCGCAGCTCCATCCTTCTCACCTTGGTTACAGAAGAGGCTCCACAGTTTGGCGAAGATCAGCCCCATCATGAGCACCCGGGCGGGCCGCGGGGTCCCTCGGCAGCAGGTGCCGCGGCGCCGGGCCCCCCCACCGCGGCGCAGGCTGCGGGGAGCAGACAACGAGAAGCCGCCTGAGACCGCGCAGCGAGGGCACTGCTAGG